GCTCGCGGGCGGGGCTCGGGCGCCCTGGGCAGGTGGGCCCCGGGTTAGCCCTGAGGGGAGGTCTGGGCAGAGCCCACTCACAGTGCCGTCGCCCTCTCCACCCACCCTGGGGCGCAGAGCGGGAGCAGCTGCAGGCGGAGGCCAGCGAGCGCTTCGCGGCCGGCTACATCCGGTGCATGCACGAGGTGCACACGTTCGTGTCCACGTGCCAGGCCATCGACGCCACGGTCTCGGCTGAGCTCTTGAACCACCTGCTGGAGTCCATGCCCCTGCGCGACGGCAGCGGCTTCCGGGACCTGCTGGGGGACGCCACAGCCGCGCCGCCGGGAGCCGCCGGGAGCCGTGGCTGGCCCGCGGGAGGGGTCCCGGGATCCCCCCTGTCCAGTCCCCCACGTCCCGGGGACGACCTGTACTCTGACCTAGAGGAGGTCTCTGAGGCTGAACTAAGCCGGGCACCTGCGGAGGGGCTGGACTGGGGGCCCACGGCCTTGGGCGGCCTGACTGCAGCACGAATGGCCCAGAGTGTGTGGAGGCCTTGGTGATCTTCCTACCACCCAGAGGTGGGCCTGGCCTTTAAGCTTCCCCTGGGGTTCAGACGTGGTGGAGTAGGCCCCAACATATGTCCCAAGTCTGCCCTGCCCCCTGCTCCAGTGGATGTCCACCCCTGTCAGGACCCTGGCCCTGTTCCTTCAGGGAATCCCTTCAGGGGACTCTACAGCTCTGGGTGGGGGAGGGGAGTTACAGGCTGGGGGAAAAGCTCCTAGGGCACCAGGGCTTTCCATTCACTGGTTCCAGCCTTCTCAGACCCCCCCCCACCCCCACAGAGTAGAAGTGGCCCTAATGGTGCCTCTCAGGACCTGAACAATACTGTCCCAGGAAGGGGCTGGGACCTGAGTTTGCCACTTCAGTCTGGAGACCACGAGGCAGACACATACTGCGGCCGACCTCCGCCCTGACGCCATACTGTGCACCTTGTTTGCAGCACGTTTGAGTCTTGTCTATTTTGCTGCCAAAAATTGCTCCAAATGAATTTTTTAAATGTGGGAATTAGCTACCCCTGGTGTCCTGTTAATGTGTCAAAGGTGCTAAGCTAAAACACATTTTCCCATATGACACAATTTTAATGTCTTAAGAACTCTAACCTTTGTCAGCACAGTGAGTTAATGCAGACTTCCAAGTTGGGAGGTACTGGATGCCTGGCCTGCTTCTCTCCCTGCCCCCTCCCTTCAGGGGCACTGGGTGTGCCTTGGAGGACTCCCCTGGGCTTGGGACTTGACCTGAGTTCAAACCCCAACACAACCCAAAGCAAAAACAATTGCCAAATCCCTGGTCCACTGTACTAATTTCCCAAGGCAACCACAATAAATGATTATGAACATGGTGGTCTAAAGCAATGCATGTTATTATCTGGCAGCCTACAGGTTACAAGTTCCACAAAGGACCCCAGGGCTCAAATGGGTGTCGGTAGGCAGGGCTACATTCCTTTCTGGAAGCTTGAGGGTATTCCACTACCTGTTGCTTGAGAGACTACCCCCAGCCTGGGCTGGCTGACGGCCCCTGGTGTCATCAGCAGAGGTTGTGGCTATCTGCCCTTTCCTCCGTCATCTCCTCTTCTGTGGACCCCTCCAGCTAGGCCTCCTTTCTTCTACTTTTTAAATGGCATCTACTAGTTGCACAAAGGTATTGCATTTTGACATAACCAATATTTGCTTACAACGTGCTATGATCCAATTCATTCGGGCTGAGCTAGGACCAGGCACCTCTGCCTTCCATCCTGAGGTGCCAACTTCCCACAGGGATACTGGATCTCATGCTCAGTGACTGCTCCCTCCGCTGCACTGACTTCTTTCTGTCAACCTACAAACAGCCTTAAAAACCTCTATCTGGAAGAAAGTGAGGAAACTCCATAGGCCTGAGGCACCCAGTCTGCCTGTGTCCTCTATTCAAAAGCAAAACTTCTCAGAAGCATAGACACTCTATGTACCTCACTGTCCATTCCTGTCCAGTCAGCTACTGCCCCAGCTCTTCACTGAAAACAAGGTCGAGATCTTCAGTGGCAAAAGCTGGGCTTGGTGGTAGACTCTGCAATGCCAGTACTTGAGAGACAAGACTGGATAATCATGAATTTCAATCTCCTTGGTGATAAAATGAGACCATGTCTCAAAAAGGATAGAGAGTGGGGTGCCGGTGGCTCCACCTGCAATCCCAGCTACTCAGGAGGCTGCGATCTGAGGATCTCGGTTCAAAGCCAGCCCAGGCAGGAAGTCCATAAGACTCTGATCTCCAATAAACCACTAGAAAACCAGAGTGGCGCTGTGGCTCGAGGTAGAGCGCTCGCCTTGAGCTGAAGAGCTGAGGGACAGCACCCCGGCCCAGAGTTCAAGCCCCATGACTGACAAAAAAAAAAGGAAAAGAGAAAAAAGAGAGAGAAAGAAATAGTTCTACTTTTGACTTCATTAGTCTCTCCTGGGTTATCATGTGCACTCATGCACACACATGCCAATCTGGAAAGTTCTTTAAGTTCTCCAGGGCACATACTCCCCATTGTCCCAGCTTGCTGACTACCTGCGCCTCCTAGTGGATACTCTTCTCATCTGACTTGAATGTTCCTAGGTTAGTCTTGGGGCTCTGACCTCAACCTTCCAGGTTGCCTTCCTTATCTCAGTAACCCCACCCATCCACTTGGTCCATGGCTCCCTCTTCAGCCTCTTGTCCACTTGGTGTCTCCACTCAGGAAGCACCGCCAACAGGGCTGGCTCTCCTCCCCGGGCACTGCCGCTTCCCAGCACACCACTTGATGCACCTCAGGGACTGGTCAAAAAAGTCGTCTTTTTTCTGTCACTTGCAGTCAGTCCAGTGCAAGAGCACAACGTTTTGTTGTTGTTGTTGCTACTCTGGGGCTTGAACTCAGCCTGGGTGCTGTCCCTGAGCTTCTTTGTGCTCAGTTGAGCGCTGTGACCCTAGAGCCACAGCGCCACTTCCGGTTTTCTGAGTAGTTTCTCGGAGGTAGGAGTCCCACGGACTTTCCTGCCCGGGCTGGCTGGAGCTGTGATCCTCAGCCTCGGGCTCCAGGCGGCTCCCCACACGGGCCCAGCGGGGGCTGCAATGGCGGAGCCTGCGCCCGGAAGGACCGGGCATGTGGTGGCAGGGGCAAGAAAGCCCGGGCTCAGCCAGTCATCGCTGTCAGTGCAGGGATTTCAGTGTGTCAGGAAGTGACTGGCCACACCAGGGCCTGGACATTCCCCACTGTGGCCTTCCTGGGTACTCGAGGGATCGTCCCGGCCCCATCGCGGCCTCCCAGTGTCCGCCCCACCATTTTCTTCTCCATCAAGTGGCTAATAATCTTAATGTCCTCACCGCCTGCTCCCTCGTCACACTTTCAGCAAGGTCGCGTTTCCCGCCATTGTCAGCTGGTTCCTGGGGACACCAGCCACGCAGCAGGCCCTGCAGTGCCCACGGCCCTGACGCCGGTCCTGGCCTGTGCGGCCTCATCCGAGCAGAGCCCTTCTGTGCTGGGTACCAAGCACTACGAAGCACTGTTTCTTTTCTAGGCCTCTTACCTCCATCCTGTAATCTGATCGCCATGGCTTCATCTATTCTGTTGCTGACTCAAACTCTGCTTTCTCTCATTGACTCTATCCAAAGACCCTTGGTTACACATGTCAGGTTGGGCAAAATTCAGTTCTGAACTTTCCAGAAAAGTCTACCCTTGGAGTAAGAGGAGTTTTCTAGGCACCCACCCAACTGCTGAGCCACAACTCCAGCCCTCTTTTGCACTGATTATTTTTGAGATAGGCTCTTGCTTCCTGCCCACCATGCCCAGTTCATTCCACTGAGATGGCATCGCCTGGACTTGTGAAGCTTGGGATGGCCTAGGACTGTGATCCTCCCAATCCCAGCCCCCCCACACTTGGTTTAGGGTGACAGGCATTTGCCACTATGCTCAGCTACTGATTGAGATGAGCTGTAAACTTTGCTGTAGTCAAGGAGCCAGAAGTGGAGCTGTGGCTCAAGCTCTGGCCTGAGTGAAAAAGTAAAGGGGCAATGCCAAGGCCCTGAGTTCAAGTTCTAGTACTGACACACACTGACACACACACACACACACACCTGCTCCCCATTTACAAAGCACCAGAGGCCCAAGTCTCCTGTGGGCCCACTCAGAACTCCTTAGCTTTGCCTCTGAACTCCCTCCTTCTCCCCCCCCCCCCCCCGTGTTCTCACCCCCTCACCAGGTTTTGTTTTACCACATTGTAATCTTTTGCTCTGCTCTTCTTGGCTGGCTTTCAAGGCTGGCTCATGTCCTGGTTTTCCTCCTCTTCGCATCCCTCACCCCTCAACCCCCACCCCTGGCCTGTGTTGTTCCCAAGGCATATTTCCTTCTTGGCGTATTATAAATCTTGTTAATACCATAATTGTTGGATGTCTACTCCTTGCCAGATACTATTCTACCTGCTGGAGCTAAAAAAAAAAAAAGTCCCTTCTCAAGCTTATGCTGTAATGAGAAGAAACCCTTTTTGTGATAATGTGGGCATGTCTCCATACAAGAAGAAACATCAGTAAGGTCAGGACTCAGGGTATGGTGTATGGAAGCAGGGTGCAGTTTTGACACAGTTTACTGAGTATACACCGATTAGAATGGCCACATTACAGAAAGGAACAACAGCAAGTGGGGAGAGGAGCAGAGCAACACAACTCCCCTTCGCTGCTGCTGCTAGCAATGAAAAATGTTACAAATCCTTTGGTTTGAAGACTTCTTCTAACCCTAAACACACTCACAATAAATCCAAAAAATTTATTCCCTGGTAGTTATGCAGAGAACAGAAAACACATCTGCACTCTCTCTGCTCTTTCTCAGCTCTTTCCTTCTCTTGTCTTTCCCAGCTCCCTTTTCTTTCCTAGCTCTCTTTCCCAGACGTTCTCTTTTCTAGCTCTTTTCTCTCTTTCCCAGCTCTTTCTTTTTCCCAGCTCTCTTTCCCAGGCCTTTCCCCACCGCATGGAGGATCAAGATGGCCTGGTGCCAGCCAGAATAATGAATAAACCTACCCCTTACCTGAATACCACGTGTGTGGTGCTGTTCTTACTCGGCTACCTCTTTTTAAAAAGCCTAACATAAATGGTGCCGTGACCTGGATAAAGGGCTTAAAGTCAGGATAGGTGGGATTCCTTTCCTTTTTTCCTTTTTCTGTTTTTCCCTTTTTGCTCTGAGGAATACCACAGTTCTGAAGGCCTTTTGCGAACCCATCTGTCTGCTGTGGACACAGCGCATCGATACCATTGCTGCCTTCACATTCACGTCCACACCACTTCTCTACTCTGGTGAGTGAAACTACTCTCTACGCTTCTCTGTTGGCTCAGTCTCTGTCCAGACGTGGCGCCACGCCAGAGAGCTCCTATGGCCTTTAGCTGAAAGGCCGGTCACCTCTGAAGCGGAAGACGCTTGGCTTTGGGGGAGTTGACTATTTCTCTCTAGAGGGCTCTGGGGGAAGTCGGGACGCCGCTTCTGCCTGGTCAGCTCTCCTTCACTCACCAGACTGACTCTCCTACACATTTAATGGGGTGCTGCGAATCACGCCTGAGCCGTGAAACCCCTTTGAAATGTCTCCTGTGCTCTCTGGAAAGCCAGACAGCCTAATTTTATGCCCTTCTCAGATGTAGACAGTTTTTGCTACAGCAATGGTAAATGGTCAGAAGTCTGTTTAATTTCAGGCTCTCTTTGCTCTCTCTCTCTGCCATTCATGTCCAACTTTCTATCCTTTTTTCTACAACTTTTTGGCTTGTGCCTTGAAGAGTACGATGCAGGCTGGGTCCCAGGGATCCCCCTCTAAGTTCCCTCTCAAAGGCTAGCCAATGTAGGCTTGATTTATTTGTTCAAGGTTTCTTTGCATTTTTTCAGAAATTCCCCATCTTGGCCACATGGTGGGTGAAGGGTTTGGCCCCATCTGGCCCTTAACCTTCCACCAAGCTTACTACTCCATCCAGCTATTCTAAGGTGCCTTGCTAACAAGTTGCTCTTTTCACAGGCCCTGGTAACTGAGGCCCAACTATCTGATGTGCTTTGTTAGCAAAGACGTCTACACATTGTTGTCAAAATTTTAGGTTTTGAGTTTTGTCTTTTTAGTTTTGTGTTATGTATTCTGGTACTGACTACGTGACTCTAAAATATTATGCATGGGGCTGGGAAGGTGGCTCAGTGGTAAGAATGCTTGCCTTGCATGCATGAGGTCCTGGGTTCGATTCCTCAGCACCACATAAGCAAAAAGAAAAAAGCCAGAAGTGGCACTGTGGCTCAAGTGATAGAGCGCTTGCCTTGAGCTGAAGAGTTGAGGGACAGCGCCCAAGCCCAGAGTTCAAGCCCCACAACCAACCAAAAAAAAAAACAACAAGAAACCTGGAGTTGTTATGAAGACATGGGGGAAACTTCGACTGCATTTGATTTAGTGCAAGAAGCTGTCTGTGGCTTTTCCCCAGCACCACCCATGTTGAGGCCATCTCCAATGCAGCACAACTGAGTGGTGATGGGTCTTTAACAGGCAACTGGGGGCTGGAGGCATGGCTCACGTGGTGGAGGACTAGCCACCCCAGGGTTCCATGCAGTTCTCATGAGAATGGGGTCGTTACCTTGAGAGTACTTGTTTTACGCAGTTCTACCTCCGTCTCTCCTTTTATGTGGCCCCATTTTCTGCTTCAACGCATTATGGCACAGCATGAAGCACTTATTGGGAACTAAGGAAGTGCCAGAGCATGTTCTTGAACCTCTAGAACTCTAGAAAAAGAAACCTCTTTTCTTTGTAAACTTCAGCTTCAGATATTTTGTTACAGCAACACAAAATGGACCAAGAAAAAGCCAAACAGAAAAAGCTGTATATGCACTATTGGGAGTTCAACTGTGACCCTCTGGGGATACAGTCTCTCTGGCAACAGTAAGATCATTGACTGATGGGGGAGGTGGGGGGAGGGCAGAGTGGGCAGAGCATGTATGATTTTTTTAGGGCAATGAAAATATGGGTAGTGGTGATGCATGTTGTTATCTGGTGGCCCAAGCCCACAGAAGGATGGACATACTCCTCAACACCGTTTCTGAGCACCTATTTTGGGCCTGGTGCTGGGGGCATAGTGATGAGCAAACTCAGAAGTAGACCTGAACTTACCACAGCACATTCTCATGGGAAATGAAGTGATTCATTAATTTGTAAGTAAATGAAAAATGGTAACCGGCAAAAGTGATGAAGAGATGCCAAAAGAGCATGCAAAGGGGGTGTCATTAGGACACTCAAGAAAGAGTTACCTCTGGAATTGATGGCTCACATGAGTTGTTCATGGAGTTTACCCAGAAGAGAACATTCCAAGCTAAGAGTCCCGCATGAGAAAATGTCCTGGGGCAAGGAAGAGGCGGGAGAGAAGCGATGGTGAGTGAGCCCACTTTCCTCCTGTGACCAAACAACCAACCTGGTCACTTGGCTCATTATTTCTGGGCCTGGGGGAGGAAGAACACACAGGGAGCATGTGTGGAGTGAGGTGGCTCACCTCAGGCAGCCAGGAAACAGAGGTGGAGGCCAAGGCGGCCTCCCAGGGCACACCCACAGACCCAGTCCCTGCAGTCGGACCCCACGGCGCAGGTCGCAGCTTTCCCCACTATCATAAAATCCAGAACCCATTCAATGGCTGAATTCACGAGACCGGGGCCCTCATGACCCAGGTCCTCCCGAGAGCTGCTCTGGGGACCAAGCCTTCACCCACGGACCCTGGAGGGGCAAGTTTGTTCCCGGCCATAACTGTGAGGGAGAAACCTGAAAGGAAGGAAGAAAACGTGAAATGATTTGGTGACAGGCCCGGGATGGTCTGGCTACTCGGGGGGGCTGGGGTCGGAGGACGGCGGTTCGAAGCCAGCCCGGGCAGGAAACGGCTCCGGAGGCAGCGCGCCAGCCTCGGGTGGAAGAGCCGCGGTGCGGAACTGAGGCTGGGGTCGAGGCCGGCCCGGGCGCGCGTGCGCACTCGACGGACGCCGGTCATCCGCGGCCGGGCCACGTCCGCGTCCGGCCGTGAGGTCCGCGCGGCGGTCCGGTGGGTTTCCGTCAGCGGCGTCCCGGCCTGGCTTCGACGTCGTCGGAGGCAGCGAGGCGCGGCCCGCCCGCGGCGGTCGGACGCGTCCGGTTCTGACGCCCCGGACGGTCCCCGCTCCCCGGCGTGCAAAGCGGGCCAGCACGGTCGAGAGGAGACGAGGATGAGGTCGGTGCTGCACACGGGGCTCGGCCTCTCCGTCCCCGGCCCGCGGACTCCGGAGCCCGTCGTGGCACCGCCCGCGGCCAGCGGAACCCAAGGTCCCGCCGCGCCTCTCACGCCGCGGCCCGCCCC